TCATTTTGTAAATATTTAAATATTCCTCATCAGTGTCTTTGTCTACTTTATCACCTGTGCATGAATTCGCTGGTATCTGCAGAACATGACCTTATAAATGAATGTGTAAATTCTGACTTCAATGGCTCTCATATGACAGTGAGCCTTGTGCGGTCTTTGTTATTGTTCTTTTGCACATGCGGGTCAATTCAGGATCGTGATCAGTTCACACTCAAATCTGATATTGGCCACATTTCAAAACAAAATATTAACAGCCTAAAAAATAAAAAATCAGATCTGAGCGATCAGTCAGAACTGAGCACTAAATGTTGAAAACAATGGTGTCACAAAATGGTGTAAAAGGACACGCACGATGATGATGATGGTTAAATAGTCTTTAACAATCCACACACAAGGTAAAGCCAAACGATGGGAAGGCTTTACACGTATGTAAACATTGCCGTTCAAGACCCCACAAACACTAACAGAACAGATAGGAACTTAAATACACAGGCAAATGAAGATAATTAACAAGACACACCTGAACATAATGACATAATCAGACACGAGGGAAAACTAGGTCAAGGAACACAGAGAAGAAAACAAACTAAAAGTCTATGTGGTGTGACAAATGGACAATTGGATCAGTGCTGAACAATCAATTGTACATTAACACCATCCCGATTTCTCATTTTCAGAGATAAATAATGTGTGAGTCTGAGGTATTGGTGTACTAGCAAGCAAGAAAAAAAATATAGAAAAATATATTGGTGTTTATTCTCATTATAGGCTGTCTAAGAACAATAGACTGCAATTTCGTTAAAGGGGTCATATGATGCTTTTTTAAAGATCATTATTTTGTGTATTTGGTGTAACAGAATATGTTGACATGCTTTAATGTTCAAAAAACACATTATTTTTCAAATACTGTACATTATTGTAGGTCCTCTATGCCCCGCCTCTCTCAAACGCTTAGTTTTCTACAAAGTCCCTCCTTCCGACAAGCGCAGTCTGCTCTGATTGGCCAGCTGACCCAGTGCATTGTGATTGGCCGAACACCGCAAGCACTCGTCGGAAATGTAAAGCCCCTTACCATAATCGCGAGCTTCGTCTTTCAAAATAAATGTAAAGACAGAGCCCGAAAGGGGAACAGAGTCGCGTGACAGACACAGTGATGAAGCTGGTATGTGTTTGCAGTACACAAGCCACGGTTAAGACAGCTGAATCCACTGTGATGTGACCCTGTCTCTCTCTC